CTCAGAGCTGTCAGTGTGGATGAGAATTGCGTCACTCTGCTCACCAGATAAACCTGTCAAAATACAAGTGTGTGTGTGTGTGTGTGTGTGTGTGGAGACTGGTGGTTTTTCATGGTGTCAAATTTTTCTGCTGGTGTGTGCTACTCATTAAGAAAGGGAGTGATCGTACTGTGAAACTCTCGCATTCACATATTTCGATCTATCAGGTTAAACCTAAAAACATTTAATCTTTTCTCTCATATTTTCTGAGGCTGACTCTTTCAATATTTCACCCTCTCTCTCCCTCTCTTTTGGGACCCACTGTTTTCTTTACTCAGTCCCGTCCATCTGCTTCTTATAACACCGAGGCAGTCTGATCTAGTTTGCAGAAACCCCCTTTGAAAAATCAGACATTTATTCACGTACAACCAAAATAGTCCCTTTTCTTCATCAAAATAACCTGAGCAGTCTATGCACCATTTCAATAGGGTGGTCAAATCTGGACCCAATTAAAATGGGGACCCCCTAAATTTCCTTCACACCCAGCTTGAGGAAGATCCCAGATTAGAGGAATATTTTCCTTATTGCCGACTTTTCTTTTGTGCGGAATTCCATCGGATAATAATTGAGCCCATGTGTGCTTGGTATTCCGGGGTGTTCCCATTCTGGTGGATAAAAATGGCATGTTGTTTCAGCCATTGGGGCAGAAGCAGTTTTTGTCAAATCCATCTTTTCTTCCTCCTTCTCCTCTTCTTTTTCTCCTCCTCTTCTTCTACACCGCAACCCTTGGATCGTTGCTTGGAATTAATAGAAGAGGGGGATTTTTCCCTTTTTTAAGTCTCGGTCAGATTTCCATGTGGGAAGAGGCGGAGGCCTAATTGAGATCAAATAAACAAAAAGTCACCTGTGAATGATTTCAGCTTATAATGAGACACATGCTCGCTTGTTGGAACATGCGCACGAGGCCCCACTTTGCCCATACACACACACTCATACACACATGTACACACACTCAAACAACTCAGTTCGATAAGCACTAAAGCAGGTGTTCTTATCACTCCCATACTCTCTCACACACACACACATGCACCAAGGATTAGCTACGGCTTCTCATAAACTCTAGGACTCAACAGTGAGAGCTAGTGTTCTGCTCCCCTATGCAGTGACCCATCATCATCCTGCTCCCTCTGGCTTTGTGAGTGCTCGGCTCCAACCAGGAATGAATGGCCACTTGTTAAATAAACCCAGGACGCTGCTGGGGTATCACAGTTGTCTGCACAGTATTATTTTAAGTGGTAATATTAAGAAAAGGCATCGGGACGTCGTCTGCCTCTCAGCTGTTATGCAGACGATTTCTCTCTTTACCTGTGAGTGGTCTGTGGAGGACTGCAGGAGCTGGACTTTGATTCATGTCTTCCTAATTGTAATAGACCTGAATCCTCTAAAAACAACACAGGGGTAATTCTTGTGCACACACAGACACACACTTACACGCAGGTAGGAGGCTTTTTGGGCACGCACGCTTGGAAACACACATACTCCACACGTAGGTAATTGTGCCCACCTGGGAAAACATCATTTAGTCAGGCGCCCCTTCCTTCTACTAACACTGCTCTTACAGCCTGGATACGTGTGTGTGTGAGTGTGTGAGTGTGTGTGTGTGTGCAAGTGTGTGTGTGTGTGTGTGTGTGTGTGTGTGTGTGAGTGTGTGTGTGTGTGAGAGACCTCCTTTGCCCTTTTCTTCTTTTTTTTATCCCAAATTGCATTTGACTATTAACACCCCTTAAGCCCTAAACCATCAAATTACAATACAATATTTTATAAGCCCATAGTCTATCCCTGTTTTTCTTTATACAGCTCCAACAACCAACTAGGCAGCTGTAATAAAATCAACCATCGATCCTTAGTCTCGCAGACATCAGACCAAAACGTCTTCTCGTCCGATCCACGCAACTCTAAGTGCAATCTCAGAGTCCATAGATATTGATTTTATTTATTGTAACATAATCACCACGTCCCGAGCTGACAGCCGCCATGTTGGGGTCAAATTCCTTCACAGTCTGCTGAATGTAAAGTACTGTAAGTGACATAAATCTGTGTGTGTGCAAGCAGGGACTTCAAGGCAAGAGACACAAATGCCTCTTTGAGCTTGTGTTTGGGTTTCGCACGTGAAATTTATTGTTTTTCACTCATGTGTGGTGTATTGGCTCCAGAGGAGGAGGATGGTTAAAAGCACCCGAGCAGGATGGAGTGAGTTTCCATCTGTTCTACTTGTCTGCCTGACAGCTATGTGTTTGTAAGTCGTGTTTTCTGAGCTTTGATGTGTCTGTGATGAACGATGGGCTGTGACATCACTTTTACACAATTACATGTTGCAGTAATTTAGTCCGGGTGTCTTCTTGTAATTGTATAGGGGGGCTGTATGTGCGAACAGAAATGTCTGAGTCAGAAAACACAAGAAAGAATACAGATATCTCAGGGGAGTAGAAGACGCTGATGAATGCGTCAACTTGGAAATAAAATGAGATTCAGGAGCACATGTCCTGCCTCCTGACGCTCTACCCAGACACCACCCCTCAAATGACATGTTCCTCTTGTTGTGAACTTGGACAATCTCCTGCTGCATTTTTCATATGTGAAAGGCAAACTCTAGGAAAATGTCCAGAACATTGTGTGTGGACATTTTATCAGGGTTCGTGTCTGAAAACAGTTGTAACGTTTCACGGTTTCTGCGGTGAATTTCCACAAAAATGTTAATATATGTAGAAAGTTTACATGATTAATGGAATATTTGTACATTGTGCATTCTTCATGAGAAGATTGATAAAACTGTAATGTCTGTAAGATGTTACATATGAAGCTGGCGTCAAAATATAGATAGTTTAGCATGATAGAAGGAACCACTCAGCCACTGGCTTCATTAAAGTAAAAAAGAAAACTCCAGCACAACATAACTCACATCTTAAAATTTCGTTATTCATTCATTCATTTATTCAACCTGTATTTTAACTTGGGAATACAAGAGGCCTCATTTACAACATAGCAGAGAACAGAAAATAAACAAAACATTTCAATACAGCGAGAAAAAAAAAAAAGTAACATTTGGTAAATAGTAAAATCAAGAGCAAAAGTAAAACCCTCAGGAAAAAATACTCTGCTTTTATTTAAAGCAACTGAATCAACTAATATTAAATGAATCAACTGAAAGAATAACAGATGGTCAGATAAAAAATTTAAGGTTTAGATGGTTCTGTTATTTCATGTTGCAGGTGCAGAATGAAAAAACTGGATTCACCAAGTTTAATAAAAAAAACAGTTGGCACCAACATCCAAATCTTGCCATCTTAGCGTCAAGTGAGACACGTGTGTGGGAGATGAAGACATAGACTTGGCTCCGTAGACGTCCCCTGCATTGAGGTAAAGGCCAGGGGTCTCATGGCAGGCACCTGCTGCTGCTCCTTTTAATAATCACTAACTGATGCCAACAATGACACACACACAGGAGTGCGAGCATGCCAACAAACATGGGTAGGTGATCTGAACAGGCCCCAGCTATCTTTGGCATCTCCACTGCTCCGCCGGCCGCCGTGCCAGGCTGCACAGGCGGCGATGCCACCTGACACGAGCTGACACCACCGCCAGCTGTCGCCCAACCTCAGTCACGTTAGCGTGTCTGCCAGTTGTTTAAATGCATGATGGACATTTACATAATTTAAAGCTGCACACTGGCGTCCAGCACCGACTGTGTCTAATCTTTAAAAAAGCACCAGGGACAAATTGGTCACGGCGGTCGGCTGTCTTTCACCAAATCATTTACACAAATGTAGTGTTTCAGACATTTCTCCTCTGTGATCCTCGTCAGCGTCGTGTTCGACCTCAGCTCCAGCTTGTCCGCTTGTGTCATCGTCTCACAATCAAACATGCATTTTTAATATTTTCCACTTTTGTTCTCACTTAACCCTGAATTTGACCCTGTACTTTTTGCCATGACTGCTTTTCTTGACATGCACACCTTCTCATCATAGGGAATCCTTTTCCGCCACCTACTGGTTTAAATAGATACTGATGATGACTAAACAGTAAGTGATGGATAGCTCTGTTAGATCAAGGATTGCGTCTCACTTCAAACCCATTGAGTATTTGAATAGTTGGTGAAAACACAATTCGTGGCTGTGATTGAGGACAAGCTGGTGGTGGTACCAGTTAATGTTTGATTACCTCCATTTATCCACCTCATCCATCTCCTGCCATAAGAAATGATGGACTGGTTTTGTATGGCTGCCACCTTCAGGTGTAAACATGCAACATGACATTACATAGACATTATAATAGAGACTTTCAATACTATATGAAACGAAATGGAAATTCTTCTCGACACATAAAACACAGAGGTTTGGTTGAATTGGAGAACTGCAGCATGTGTTTTGCACACAGTGTTTACTTAAACAGTACAATCTGGTAAGTTTGATAAGGAGAGATGGTGGCCATGGGAGGAATCCCAAATGGTGATAAAACCAAATAAAACTGACAGTTTTTCAACTACAAATTGAAATATGCATCAATCTTTGCACATAACATCCTCACACTGACGTCTTCTTGATACTGATAAACTGTGAAAATGGAATTGGAAACTTTTTGTAAACACTGTAAACCCCACTCTTAGAGAGGGATTCCAGGAAGAGCACTAAGGACAGTATATGAGTCATGAACACAAAATAAAAGCAGAACTCCAAAACATGGCAAAGAGGTTTATTTACTAATTTTGTAATAAACTAATCAGTTGAATTAAAAGTACAGGAAACTCATAAAATGTCATAAGATTTGTGTCTAAATATCAGTGAGGCCTTTGCCTGCATGTAACAGCCACTATCTGGAATTGACCTCATGTAACAGCCTGTTGTTGATATCTTTGTGCCATGTCATCTTTTTAAACACACCTGCTGCTGCTCTCATGACGGCAGCTGCGTATTTTGCTCTTCAAAAGGAGCCAAGCCACATGCAACTTCATTTTAACTTAAGAGATGTCAATGGACAGCATAATGAGAGCAGCTTCACTTTTGCTGATTGCGTCGCTCTGCCTGTTTGCTTCATGGGCTTTTGAGGTGCGAGCGAGTGAAGGAGGGGATCAGGCCAAGTCCGACATCTGGACAGAAGTGAGGATGCTCAGACAGATGGTGGTGCAGCAGCAGGTGGAGCTGAGGAACATGGAGGCCAGGCTGAAGGAGGCAGAGATACAGGCAGGTGAGCAGGAGTTGGACCTTCTCCAAACTAAAACCCACTTGGAGGAGCTGAGACGGGATCATGTTGATGCGGAGAAGAGACTGAGCGCCAGTGAAATACAAGGACAAGAGCTGAGGCAAGAAAACACGGAGCAGGCTGCAGAACTGACAGATCTCAGTGTAAGGCTGGAGGTCAGTGAGAGGCAAGTAGAAAAGCTGAAGGTGGAGCTTGAAAACAACGCAGTTGAGCTTTTGTCCACACAAGCCAGAGTGACAGTGAACAGAAACGACGTGCAGCTCCTACAACGCAGGTTGGACGATGCACAGACTCAGAACACAGCCCAAGATGGTAAACTTTCATCTTTACTGGACAGGACAAACACTACTGAGCAACAAGTGGATCTTCTAATCAAAGACAATGCAAAGGTGGCGTTTTATGCTGCTTTGACGGACTCAGAAGACGTGGGGCCTCACAGTTCTCCAACAGTTCTGAAGTTCAGCAAGGTCTTCACTAATGTCGGCAAAGCCTACAGCGCCACCACTGGTCTCTTCACGGCACCGGTGAAAGGGGTGTACGTTTTTAGATTCACCATTTGTGGTTACATGAAGGAGGGCGTCACAATGGGAGTGCGACTCTTCCACAACGAGAAGTCCATAGTGTATAATTTACAGACCTGGTCTCATGAGCGTTATGGTTTAGACCATTTTGAGTACCTTTCCAATGCCGTTGTTCTAGAGCTGAATGTCGGTGATGAGATACATTTGGTTCTGCCAGAAAACGAGACCATCTTTGATAATTACAACAGTCATAGCACACTCAGCGGGTTCTTGCTTTTCCGTATGTAATGTCAGTCCAATACAAAGACATAATGCACAACCCGCCATAGCCCGATAGTCACCTTAAAGTTAATCAACCTGCACCAAATTTCTCACACAAATCAGTTGAAATATAAAGAAATGTAAAAAAAAAAAAAAAAAGGTTTTGTGGTAATCTGTTCAGTTTTTGTTTTTGCAGAATCGTGCTCTAAAAGAAAAAAACCTACCAACCAAAAAACAGACAGAGGGGAAAACTTAACCTTGGAGCGATAAGGTAAACATTTGTGAAAAGAGAAAAAAGACGCAGAAGAATAAAAACTAAATCCAAATTAACTTGCACTTTGCACAACTATTACATATCTATAAATTCACTTGGTGAAGAGCTTTAAATAATTAATCCAATTTAGGACAGAAAAATTAGAAGCATTGTAATAAGTGTATTTTATTGTTTGAATTATGTTGCTCAGTCTGGTGTGAGAATGTGAAAATATGAACAATGTGCTCAAAGCATCTCTTTGTAATCATCCAAATAAATATACCTTTAGTACCTGTTACCTGAGAATATTATTATTTCATTTTATGTCTTATACGGTGACACTGAGCGTCAAAACACAATGACATTTACAGAAAACACGACATGGAATTTTGTTTGTTTAAGTGTTTTTCAGAGTAATTTTTTACCATTTGTGTTCATATTGCAGACTATTGTGAAAAATGACATGAGACTAACACGAGTAAAAGGTTGATGGTCAGGGCCGAAGATTTGACCAGAAACACTTCATGTTTTATCCAGTAGGTGGCAGTCTGAGGACGCCATAGGCTACAAGCACAGATAGATGGAGAAGAGGGAGAGGCCTGGAGGAACATGACATGTGATGTATATAGTGATGTAACCTTTTCCGCTGAGGGTGTGAGGAGATCTTCAGAATCACATCTTCATAATACAAAACGTTTAAAGTTGATCCAAAAGAAAAAAAAGAATGCAGCTGTATATGTCCATAGCTGAGATATCAGTGTGATGTGAATGTGCAGACAGCCGCAGAGAGAGGGGTCGGAATGTACAGTGTAAACTGTCGATTGAAGCCTCTGTGATATCACACTGGATTTACCATATCAGCCCTGGTAAACAGTGATGCCAATATAACGTAGGGTAAGTAATAAAGGAACAATGAGGGCAGATGGGAGACATGATGGGATCAGCTGGAACACAATGTAATTTCTGTCCTCCCCTCCGTCTCCGGACCTTTTTCACATCACAGTTTTGGGCAGTTGTCCAACAAAACAATTAGCAAGTATGGGAATCCCAGCCCAGCTCTCATACAGAGGCCCTCCCTCGTTTCTCTCTCTCTCTCTCTCTCTCTCTCTCTGTCTTTCTCTCCTCCTCTCTCCTCCTCTCTCTTTCTCTGCAGCTGGCCCCAGGAGAGAGGCAGCCAAGTTTATTTTCACCATGGTGGTCCCTTTGGGGTGGCGGCGAGGCCTCTGCCACGCCGTCACTGATGTATTAGGTGCGGGTCCTTGAAGAGATGTCGGTGGGACTCTTTTATTACAACAGCACTCAATCTTATTGTGCAGTTGAAGGATACTTGGTAGTGTCCTTTAAGCATGAAGTGTGTGTATAAGAGTCAAACATGCAACATCATCCTTCCTATTGTTAGCGAAGAGTAGCTTTAATGAATAAACCAACACTACAACTTGACTGGTGAATATTAATGTGAATATCATAATGACAACTGATGAGAAATGTGAGTGGAGACCATGATGTCAAAATGTTAGAGGACCTTGGGGACTATTTTCTACAGTGAAAAATAAAATGTCAGGCTCAGTTTGATTGAAATATCAAATATTAATGGCTATCTTTTTGTGCTTATTTTTTTCTGTTGCAATAACCACATAAAAATTGTGTAAAAGTAAATGGGCAGGATTATTTCCTTTTCTAAGGAGGTTATGTTTCCATCGGAGTTTGTTGGTTTATGTATTTGTAAGCAAGATTATGCAAAAACTGACTTCTACAAATGACCAAAAAGATATGTTAAGGACAGAGAAGAAGGTATCTTTGGTTGAAGTCTGCGCAACATGTTGAGCCATGTACAGTCTAAGGTCCACACTTGTTCAGCAGCGTCCTTCTTTACCTCCATCCCAATAAACCACAATGAGAGAGAGGGGGAGAGAGAAAGGGAGGGGGAGGGGGGCGTGTGTCTGACTGCATAAATAACTGTCTGCATGATGTAAACACAGCGGTCATAACCCGAGCGAATTAAAACAACTGGTCTGGGCGGGATTAAAGCTCAACCCGCAATTTTTTCTACCACTTTCAAAAAAAATAAAAATCTGTCCAATCAGCGTTAAATACATGATGTGTACGTGATGATTTTTTTAGAAACAAAAATGTAATTGTTATTGTTGTAATTACATAGACCCAATAATTGGGTGACACCCTTTACCATATTTAAAAGTCAAATTATTCCAGTGTTCCCAAATTACATCTCCAACTTTTTTTGGGACTTAAAATCATTGGAGAACTACAGCTGCATCTTAGAGTCCCAGATAATCTCTGAAGGCAAATGTTTGTTTGCGTAATGACCACCGCGTCTACTGTTATCTATTAGAAACAACAGAGGGAGACTTATCTGCGCTTTGTTGGTGCTCAGGTTCTGCTGATTCTGACGGAGTGGACTGATGAGAGAGGTCAGGTCAGAGCGTGGGCCCACACAGAAATAAAAATAACACTAAGAGAAAGGTGGGAACAAAAGCAAGCAGCACACAAGGTGTAAAAGTGGTACAAATATATATTTATACACATGTAATCTGTACAACCATATGGACATTGGCGCGTAATTGCGCACAGGCATCATCCATCTTAATGCAGCTGCCAGGACAGGTCTGCACTAGTAAAAATGCGTCTGCAGAGTATTAACAAAAAAGCAATTTAATGCACGTTAATCTTTGAACCAGCAAAGACAACAATGATAGACATAATGCATTTAAATAAATTCAGCTTGGTTTTATACGGGAACGAAGGAGAGAGAGGACACACTCCCTCCGTGTTATTCCCACTCAGAGTCTGCAGAGATGAGACGTGTTTCAGTCACTGTTCTGTCCTTTTTTTTCTTTCTTTCTTTTTCTTGGAAAATCATGATTCATTTGAACAAACGTGGCCTGTGGAGGTGCCCGTCTTTCTGCATCAGGAGGCCGTTGTTCCACATAACCTCGTTGCGTTCAGGATCTCCTTCAACTCGTTCTCTGGTTTACCTGCGACCATGAAAGGCCACGTCTGCGGAGGAAAACACCACCAGGTCAGGTCAAACACGAACAAAGAGTTTAAGAATAAAAGAACAGAAAATAATAGAGCTATAATGTGCCAATAATTTACTTGAATTCTGGGTAATGCTTTTTGGAGCTATATCAGTGGTACTACAGTTTTTATGCAGTAATATCCACATAATACGATTTCATATGTTTGAAATGTGCCTAAATTACTTCATAATAGTCTCCCCTGGTTTAAAAACATATTTTATATCACAATAAAACACTAGATATAGCAGACTTAATTACAATATTAATGTGTTTTTATTCTCTGCTTTACATTAGAGGCCTTTATTTCTTGGTCTGTGCATCGATTATTGATAATACAAATCGAATGTGTTGGTAAGTCTAAGTCTGTTTTTATAAATTAATCAGGATAAGGTGAAAAATACTATTTTCTCCCATCCATGCACCTGCTTAGTGATCACACACGTGTGTCACCTTGGTGCTGAGACATGTGGAGGCCTTGTGTGAAGGCCACATTCAAATCCTGATAACTTTAAAACCTCTGAATACAACTTAAACAGAGTAAATTAGATAAAGCTATTGAAGAAAAAAAAATCACTCTCGCTTCAGAACATTGGGCCAAATCTAATTAATCTTAAAAAAAAAAACTTTATTATCACAAACTTCCAGATGTGTTTCATCTCACCAGGTTTACCGGGTGGATATATCCGTTTTCATATTTGTCGTTGGCCAGTATCTGCCGGAGGTGCGCGATGTAGCTGGACGCGAGGCGCAGCGTGTCCAGCTTGGAGAGCTTGGTGTCCGACGGTACCCAGGGCAGGGAGGTCTTCAGCCGGGAGAAGGCCTTGGACAGGACGCGCATCCTGGCTCTCTCCCGCGCGTTGGCCGCGTTCCTCTGCACCTGCTTGCCCTCCTGCTGCGGTGCCACACCCTTGGGCGCCGTTTTGCGCGACGCCGTCTTCCTCTTCTTTCCAGGCGCGTCTCTGCGCTCCTCGCTTGCGCAGGGCCCCTCGCAGTTGGAGCTCTCCTCCGTGCTCTCGTTGGAGTCTTTGCCGGAAGAGGCGAACTTGAGGATGCCGTCCAGGAGCTCGTCGTCGACATCGCTGAGGGACCCGGTGGACATGGTGAGCTGTCTCCGACCGGAGCGGACTCAAAACATGGGAGCTAAGGCTGATGCAGTGTTATGGACAGGGTGGGACGACGCACGCCTGCGGGGGCGATGATGTGTTCTTGGACTCCTGACCGTGCGAGGAGAGGGAGCAAGACTTTTTATCTCAGGAGCAGAGAGGGCGTTACCTCATGCTGGGAGGAGACATGGGTGCTGGTCTCTCTGGGTTTCCAGGGCCCCAAAGGAACCCAGAACACAGAAAATGCAGTTTATTTCTAGCACAAATGTGACCTTAGCCAGACGCTTGATTATGTTGTAGAGATGGGTTCATCGCTGTAATCTATTATTTTTAGATCCACTTCAACTTTTTCAAAAAGTCAGGGGTCCATGAATTTTACTTTTAGATGTTTTGTGTGAATGATCTGCAAGTCAAACAAAATTATAGAATGAAAAAAGAAGAAGGGAAGCAATAACAATCTCATGTTTTTATCAAAAGTGGCTAAACCTACTTTTATTTGATTATTAGTCTTTAAAATCAACCATGGAGCTTAAACACGACAAAGTAAAAAAATAATAATGGCTTTCAAAATAAAGACAATTAAAACAGATTCTGTGAGGTATCTTGTGTCTCTAAGTGGCCTAAAGATGTTTA